TTTTAATTTGTTCAAGGGTATTTGGTGCATTTTTTAGTATGCAGGGGTAAATCGTGCAATTTTCGAAGAGTTCGAGGGTAAACGGTGCACTTTTTATAGTTCAGGGGTAAAGCATGCAATTTCTAAAGAGTACGGGGGTAAACAATGCACTTTACTCATTCTTAAAAACCCATCAGCCCAAGACGCCACGGCAGGCCACTTCATCCAAGGGATCGCCACCGTTAGTTAGAAGCTCTGCCACCGGCCATACTGTAGGTTGTCCGTGCTCGCCCGAGTCGCCGCCGCCGGGAAGGAGGCTTATAGGCCGCCGCCATCTCGAAGTAAGTCTCGACGTAAAACCGTTGCTACCTCTGCTTTTATTTCCCCATGGGGCGAGCTCGGACAAGGGAATTAGGGGGATGATTAAGAGGGCATGAACCACGTACCTTTGGGTTGAATACACCATTGTAAGTGCCCCAATTAGACCAATATCATACGGAGGATTATTTTTCTAGACCTTTTCACATAAAAAATATTTTTTTATTTTTTTTATTATTTTACCCATATGTAGGCCCATGGTGTTTACACATCGTTACTCCTCATTTGCCCGGTCAATTTCTAGAATTTGCCTAGAAATCGATCTTACTTCTAACTTTTTTATTTCTTCACAACGTTACTCCTCATTTGCCCGGTCAACTAGAAAAACAAACCTCTATTTTGAGTACTTTTTTATTTTAAATTTAAAAAAATGGATACAATCTCTACTGGGGACTTGAATATGAGTAAACTTTCCCATTAATCTTGGAGAGTGGCTTTCTACCAATTAAACCAAGGGAGAAGTTTGAGTCCTAGGTCTTTTAATTATTTAAAGAACTAAAGTTTATTTATCTGTATTTTTGGTATAGGTAATCACTTCATTTACATCACTTTCAATTCTATAATTTTATTTTATTAAACTCCGTGGAGAATCAAACCTGAGCTACTAACTTATAATAGATGGAGTATTAATTAAAATTTTAAACTTATGAGGGAAATCAAATAAAAAGAATAAGATTATGAAGGAGATGAAAAATGCAATACGAAAGAAACAAAAGTACGAACACAGTGCGTCTAAAAAAGACTTATGATTCCCATTTTTTATAAAATTAAAATGGAAATTCAAAATATATGTCACATTTTTTCCACATATGAACTAATCAAATCCGGAAGTATTTTCGTAAAAACTCGTATTTTTTGAGAGTATATGTATTAATTTTTCCATAATTTTATGCAAAAGACATTGTGTTTAATAATAGTATATGCTTACATCATTGTCCAAATATTTGGAGGACAATTATAAACATATATCAATTCTCGAGACACTAGTGTAAACATATGAAAATTCTAGGAGCACATGGGTCAGGGCATGGGCAGAGTGTCGCCTGGCCCGGCCCATTGTTTTTGGAATATACTGCCTTCATTTATATTTAACTGTTCGGTTCACTTTTCGATCTTAAAATTTGATTAAAAAAATATATCTTAAAATATATTAAAAAAATTATTAAAAATAATCTTAAAATATATTTAAGTAATATATTGAAAGTATTTTACAATAGCAATACTGTGGTATAATTATTATATTTTAATTCATTGTATATTATTATATATAGTTAGTCAAATATTTGACACGCAAAGCGAAACAGATAGTTAAATAAGAATAAATAGAGTATGGAAGCGTTTTGTTCAATTTATTTTTTCTGCTTATTACTTATTCATATTAAAATTAGACCAGATCAGACCAGACTAGATCTATTCAGATCACATCTAATCAGATCAGATCAGATAAGGTTCAGTCAAATCAGATCTAAACATTATTATTATTATTTTACTATTAGTATTATCATATCACTATTACTATTATTATGATTATTACTATTATAACTATTGTTATCATTATCATTATCATTACTATTAATATTACTATTATTATTATCATTGTTATTGTTATTATAATTATTTCTATTATTATGATTATTTTTATTGTTATTATTATTATTATTTCTATTATTATTGTTATCATTACGTTATTTCTACAACACCCTTGTCGACTACACACGGGTTGAGCACATTCGTAGCCCTTCCTATTCATGATCCTGCTTGATATCGTCAGCTAGTGTGCCGCTTGATTTATTTGATTATCACTCGTTCTGATATATGTCATGCAATTCATGTTTTATCTCAATTTATGCAGGCTCCTACTTTGGATCATATGAACACAGTTATGCATGTCATTCCCTACATTAAAAGACACCTTGGCAAGGGTAGTTTGTTAAGTGCCAACAACAATCTTTAGATCTCGACTTATTGTGATTCTGATTGAGCCAGTTGTTCGTTGTCTCGTTGCTCGGTTAGCGGATATTTTGTTATGCTTGGTACTTCTCGTGTGTCATGGAAGACCAAGAAGCAAACTACTATCTCCCGATCCTTTGCTAAGGCAGAGTACCGAGCCATGGCGAATGCCTGGTGGATACTTCTCTCGGTCAGCGTTATATATTGCAGCTAATCTAGTGTTCCATGCCGTTCGTGAATCCGTTCAGTGCTAGGAAGTGTCTACTTGGTATATTCCTACTCATTATCAGCTGGCAAGTATTTTTACCAAATATGTATCCAAACCTGCTTTTGATTTTATTTTGTGCAAGTTGGCCAACTTGAGAGTGAGTGTTAGTGGATATTTGTAATTAAGCCCACTATTTTGTTAGGGTACATATAGTTTAGCCCATTTGTATACTTGTATAAATACGTGGTTTGTGATTAATGAAACGCAGATCAGTTTTTACTAAAATTCAACACAAGACATGAGTAATAATTTTCTTATTAAAGACCATGTTTCCATTTAAAGGTAAGAGCGATGTATAAGAGAGAAAAAATTGTGAGAATGAATGATGTAGTTATATTATGTTGTACTTTGTAATTGGTCTTATTAAATTTTTAGTAGCCCACAATCTTTCTCTACTTGAAAGTTTACCAAAGAAATAAATCGCAATTATAAAGTATCACATAATTAATTCTTATTAAAGACCATTTTTAGAAATTCAGTTTTTACTTTCAATCTCATCAAACTAATACTTATATCTCTAATGTAAAATTGGGAAACTACTAGGGTACACTAAAAGTATGCACCAAATGTACTACATAGTCTGTCCACCATGCAACTTTGAGTCTTTGAATGTGGCTAAGAAAATTAGAGAATGAATAAGAAATGTATGGTGAGTAAAGTGATAGTGTACAAATGAGATACATTTTTTGTGCACCCATTTTTCTTGTACCTCATTATCCTTCTTTCTTTTCCCTTTTACTTTAATACTCATATTACCTCATTATCCTTCATTCTTTTCCCTTCTACTTTAAACTCACATTACCTCATTATCCTTCTTTCTCTTGTACGCTTACCCTGCCACTCTAGCATTCCATTAGTTTTCAGCTACGCTCGAAAACACCTAAAAAGCTATTGTCTTCTCACCTCGCCTCTCCGTTTTTTACATTATTCATAATTTTTATTTAATTTTTTCATTGTAGCTCTCATGACATAGCTTCTCAATGTCATGAGATGATTCGGGTACTTTACGGTGCCTTGTGTCGAAAGTCTTTCTGACAAATGGTAGTCGGGCAACATGTCCCGTTTGGTGTTAACATCAATACAAGAAATGGTGTGACTTGAGTGGATTGGTGGTATACGGTATTCCTTGTGTCAAAAGTCTTTCCGACAGGAGAAGGTCGGGCGGCGTGTCCTGCAGGTGTGTAGTGGCAGTGCAAGATGGTGACAGATCAAATGGACAATCGCTGAAGGGGAGGTCACGAGTTGTGTGTCTGTTAGTTTGAGGAGAGGTTTGTTGGGTGGCAAACTCCTCCCACACCGGAAGAAGAGGAGAAAGGTGACCAAAGTATATTGGCTACTCAAACTAATGCGCGATTGGGGTAAGGGCATGCATGGTCTCAACACTTTAATGATTTACTACATACTTTTCAAATTAATTTTATGTGGGGAATTTACCTAAATAATACTAGAACATAGTTATTTTTCTAATATAGTACCATATATTTTTAATTTTCAATATAGTACCATTGTTCAATGTCCAGTGATCATTATTCAAGTAAATGTACACCGCTACTAAACATTGTTCAAACTAAATGTTTAACAACAATGAACATTGTTCCTGTTATTAGGTATTATTTAATATTATTTAGAAAATAAAAAAATTTAAGTACTATATTAAAAAAAGACATACTCCCTCTGTTCCCAATTAAATTACAATTTTTTTCTATATCCTCTCGATAACTTTTGTTTGTTTACGCGATTTCATTAACTATTTGATAAAATAAAATATTTTTATCACCTTTTGTTTTATAGAACTTTTGACAAAGTTTTTAATATATAATTTTTATTTCTTATCGGTATACTGATTTGTAAATAAAATAATTTCAAAAAGTGAGATATTTTTCTCTATAAACCGCAATTCGTAATCAAATTGGGGACGGAGGCAGTATGTTTTAGTACTACTTAGTACAAATTTCACATCTTATGTTCCCTTCTTGAAATGTTCTAGAAAAGCTTCATGTTTCGTTTTTTTTTTGTTTTGAAAAGTGCTTGTGGTTTATCATTTTTTCCTCTGCATTAATTTAAATCCACCAATTTTAATTTCATTAAAATATGTGTCAAACCGAGGGAGAGAGAATAATGAAGTGACATTTTTGTTTAAAAAGAAAATAGGGGAGAGAATAAAATGTGAACCAAAACACGAGACGTCCGTGATGATGGGCCCCATCTCCCGTATTCCCCCACCCACGCGCCTCCGTCCCCATCACTCTCTCTCTCTCTCTTCCTCTCATCTTTTTCCTTTTCTCTCTCTACTTTCTCTCTCTTCTGGTCTGCACTATAAAAGCCTCTTCCCTCTCGCTCCCTCTCCACATCTCAACTGCTTTTTCTCTCTCTTGTGTGCGAATTCAAAAGAAATAATAATAATAATAATAATACGGCGATTAAGATTTGATCTTCTTGTTTGTTTCCCCTTGTTCTGTAATGGAAGATCCTATTTGCAAGAAGCGAGTTCGCGATGACTCGGACGAGTTCGGCGACGGATCTCCCGAGGTAAAGCGCCTCCGGGAAGACCTTCTGGATGACCTTGATTTATTCGACCTCTGCACGGCGGAGAATCAGGATCTGGAGTCGTTCATGAAGAGCTTCGAGGAGGAAATTTCGCCGTCTCCGTCGCAGGCGGCGGCGGCGGAGACAGTCATCGATTTGACGTCGGAATCCGGCGATTCTCGGCCGGATCTCGGTTTCCTGCTGTGTGCTTCGGACGACGAGCTCGGCCTCCCGCCAGCCGGCGCGCAGGAATCGGAGAACTCGGAGCTTATCCGCGTTTCCTCCGACTCGGCGGAACTGGCCGGCGGTTTTTGGGACGTGGACGGACAGATACCGAGTCTTGACTCGTTCGCATTCGTCGACTCGGGATGTGAATACGACGCGCTGGATGGATTATTTGATTCGGATCTTTCTTTCGGGTCGGGTGATAGTGTTTGGAGACCCGAAACCTTGCCGGCCGATTAAAAAAGTTTTAGATCTAGGCTGTAGTAATTGTAAATCTCACGGAGTATCGAGTATTTCATTATTTTTTTGGAAAGCATCTCTAATTATTATTTTTACTCATATTTAATTTAATTTATTATATCATCCGAACAGAGTTAAGAGTTAAGAGAAGAGTTTTTTCAGAAAAGAGAGTTTTTAGTATTTTATGTGAAATGAAGTAAAATTTAAATTTTTTTCAATTAATTTTATTTAAAAATTGTTATACAAATAAAAAATAAAATTTATGCAAAACATACATTTGAAAAGTTCTACAAAAACAGGTTTTGCCAAAGGTTTAGTAAAAATATCTCTAATTGATAATGAGTAAGAGCATATCTCGTGGAGACCTCGTGTCGTTGGACACTTTCACGAACTGTATGACAATCAATATCATCATGCTTCATACGTTCATGGAACACCGGATTAGCAACAATATAGAAGGGTGACTGGCTATTACAATGTAATCTCGGAGGATATAAAATAGGAGCACTCAAAGCAGATTCAATCATATCAGATCAGATCTCATTAGATCAGATTCAATCAGATCAGATCAGAATTACAAAAAATTAGATTAGATCAGGAAAAATAAGTTGAATGGAACGGAGTCTAAGAGCATTTAGAACGACCTACTCATAATAAAATATGCCCTCCCTCCTAATAAAATATTTCACTCATACTTTTTTGTCGTCTCAAAAAATACTACTCCGTACTACTTTTAGTTAAAATATATTTTTTACCCTTATTAATTCGTAAAAACTTCGGAGTCACATCATTCGATTCATAATATATCCAATGTATTTATTGAAAACGAATTACAAGCAGATTTTTTTCTTCATTATTTTAAGGTCTTGTTTGGCATCGTTAGAGATTAGCGTTGATGTTTTGAAAAAGTTTCTGCAGTCAGCCTTTAGTGTTATTGTTTTCACAAATTTTCTATTCCATTAAAAATTTTTCTAAAACAGTAATACTAATCGAAAACGATTTCCAAACAAAATCTAAATCATTGAAATGAAACGGTGAGATCTCTAACCAGATCGAAGGGGGAATTTATTTGTCTATTTTCTTCTGATTTAAAAAAGAATAAGCATAAAGAAAAAAGGAAACAAAAAAAGAATCTAATACTTCTCCTTATCCATTAAAAGAAAAAAAGAAATGCCCCGCCCCTCAAGGACAGTATTCTATTGTGTAGTTTTTTCTTCCTCGAGTGAATTTTAAGTATTTTATTAATTTATTTTATTTCAAAATCATACTCGTAATAGAAATTAAAAATAATAATCTTACATATTTAAAACCTACGTCAAAACTCTATACAACAAGAGATAAAAAGAAAAATTTATTTTATCAAATAACCGATCAAGTACAAAAATAAAAAAGTATGTGGCTTTTGAATAGTAAAGAGTGTATTTATTTTTGGATGGTAGAGGTATAATTTATTTTCATGACTAAAATAAATTGGTAATTTGGTATCATGTTAATTAGAAATGGAATTATATTATGTCATACTAATGTCAAATTATACCTTACATTATGTTTGGAGTCGGATCAATCAACTTATTTTTATTACTTATTACACATTCTTATAGAAATTAGATTATGTCATGTCAATTTTTTTAAAATATAATTATATTTACATCAGATCAGATTTTAATAAATCAGATCAAATCTAATAATCAGATCACATGAAGAGTCCAAACAATTAGAAAGAAGAAAATGTTTACATCCTTTTCTTTATCAAAAGATGAGGAATTTTGTTTTTCTTTCTCTTACGGAGTTGTTTATTTCTCCTTATTTTCTTTTTTCTTCAACTTTTTTTCCTATTCCTCCCTAATCAAACAACAAAAAAAAATTCCATCTAATTTTTTTCTTCAAACTCCTTGCACAAAACATAGTGGTAGTGACTTGGCCTTTGAGTGTTACAAATAATTTTTATTATTAAAAAATTAATTAATCAACAACTTTTTTAAAGAAATGATGCACAAATACTTTTATGCATCCATGCTAAACAAGTGTATTGTTTATGCCTAACTTTTGACAAAACATGATTGCAAATAATCTTTTTTCAAAGAAAAATACATAAATTGAGTTGTACTAAAGTAATTTAAGAGACTAAAATAATATAGGTTAAAGTCGTCTCAAAGAAATCAAAATTAAAAATGTTGAAAAATAAAAAAGAATTATGATCAATTGATTAGCTTATTACTTCCTTCATTTAATTTTTTTCTACAAAAAAAGATACACTTTCCATTTCCCAACAAATATTTTAGTAGTAGCAGTCTGTTTCAAGATTTTTAGTTCTCATTTCTTGAATTGAAAACTTATCCCGTACAATTTTGTAATATTGATAATTCCATTTATGCTATAATTTTCTAGAATTATTTTTAAAAAATTATTTTTCGATTCGTAAACAAACATGTCTTTGATTTTTTTGTTCACCCATAGGACTCTAGGAGAGGTGGATAGTTGGAAATCTGGAAGGAATTGAATTGTATTTTCTAATGTGTAAGTTATGGTCATGACTAATGCTATGTTCTGTTCACCTGATCTGATCTGATTTGAATTTTTGAAAGTTTGATCTGATCTAATCAAATCAGATTTGATTGAACGTGATCTGATTGGATATGATTTGATTTGATTGGATCTGATCCAATCTTGTCTAGTTAGATCTGATCTGATCAAGTCTGGTAATGCATTTGTATACAACCAACATCTATTGATTTATCCTCTCTAATGATTAATAGTGAACTATGTCATATTCACTCTGACCCAAACTAAATGGCATTTACACAATTTAGAAGGTTAAATTTTATTTTTTATTTTATTACTCATTTTTGTGAGTTATCTGATAAACTAATACAGTTACTCATTTTTTAGAAGGTTATGTCATCAATCTTGTCTAGTTAGATCTGGTGTGATCTGATCAAGTCTGGTAATGCATTTGTATACTACCAACATCTATTGATTTATCCTCTCTAATGATTAATAGTGAACTATGTCATATTCACTCTGACCCAAATTAAATGGCATTTACACGATTTAGAAGGTTAAATTTTATTTTTTATTTTATTACTCATTTTTGTGAGTTATCTGATAAACTAATATAGTTATGTCATCAATTGTTTTGCAGAGGTTTTGATTTAGTTTTTAAATGCATAAATTCTATTTTGAATTCCAGTCCAATTGTCTTATTAATTAAATAAAAAATAATTTTGATCAAATATCATAAACTAAAACATGTCATAGGAAATAATAATTTTTATCTCGAATTTAAAAGCTCATATATTAAGACATCTGGCGTCACCACGAATCGGGTGAAGATAGATGAGTTAGGTGATAGTTTTCTAGAATTATACTCTGTAGGTAGTAATTTTTATTTTGAAATAGTGAACAAAAAGAATTGTACGGAGTTTTAGGATTTTGAATGAAAGAAAATGCTCTATTTATTAATTTTAAGTATTATTTTAATAAAAAAATATATTAAAGAAGTATTTAGATAATTTAAAGATTAAATACATTTTACATTTTTACTTCTATTTTCGACTTTTCCCTTAAAAAATGATTGAGATTAAAATTGGGCCTTTGAGGAGCAATTGTGCAAGTGGGCTTCGATCATAAATACTTCTCTTGTCGCCAATAACTCTTTGTACAATCACTTTGCCAGATCTGTGAATATGTCCCCATCACTTCCATTTGAATGCAGGAGATGTGTTGTGTGCAAGTTTGGACAATTTTTGTACAACTTTATTTGGGTTGTGTTATGGCCATCAACAATCCAAGTACTCCCCCGTCCCAAAATATTTGCAACGTTTGTTTTTTCAGCAGTCGCGGAAATTTTAGTTTATTTCTACGTTTTCATTGGTTATTTGATAAAATAAAATATTCTTGACACCTTTTATTTCGAAGAACTTTTCATGTAGTTTTTTGATATGTAAATTTTATTTTTTATTTATATACCAATATGTAAATAAAATGAATTGAAAAAACTTGATATTTTGTCTCGGAAATACAAGTGTGGCAAATATTTAGGGACAGAGGGAGTAGTAAATAAGTCTCACATGTTGATGTGACATATTCTAGTCAATATAAAAAAATCAGTTAGACAATGACAAGTGAATATGATAACATATCATATGTGAGAAGTCATTATTTTTGTCAATATTTATATATATTTTGACCGTTAAAATTTATTTATTTACCTATTTTATCCTAAGGTAGAGTACCTCCTCTTTGTTTCCCAAAAAAAAAATTTTCTTCCAAAAAAAAGGATGAGAATGCATGTACATGCCTCGCAAAGCGTGGTGCCTTGCCAGTTCCCACGCCATTGTCTTTGCTCTAATAATGTTCTAGGCACTAAATGTACCTATTTTATGTATGTTTAGTGAAATATTTATTTTCTGATCTTTACGGTGTGCGCTTCTCACTTTTTACAAAGTATGAGGAGAAGATTGGTACACCTCTTGACCTTAGAGCATCTCGAAGTTATATGTCACTTTCTCTCTTTCTATAAACACTTCTTATATTAATTTTGAGCAAAAATTAGGATGAGTTATTTAAAGTTGACTTTTTAATTTTGTCATTTATGTGATAGATAAAAGTAAAATGTGATAAGTAGATTATTAGTGAAAAAAGTTTGATACGATAGGTAGGGTAAGAAAAAGTATAGATAAAAGTTGCTTTTTAATAAAAAGTGGAAATCTTTTAGAGAAAGAGGAAAAAAATGAAAGATGAAGTATTTTAAAAAATGGACAAAGTATTTAATTATTCAGTGATTTATAAATCTCATTTTTAGCTTCTCCAACCATGCCATTTATTTTTTAGACTTTTATAATTTTTTATTATTTTATAATAGAATTCTGTAATAATACACTGAAATATTATGTTTGTCGAGGATAAAAACAGGAAAAACCCATCTCAATCATCAAGCAAAAAACAAAATTGGGAAATTGAAGAAAAGAGGATGAAGGGCAGAATGGTAAATGTGACTTCGCCGTGATGAGGAAGGAGGAGGTTGAAGGTGAGAAATCAAATGAGAAATTTACCTAAATAGGACTAAAACATAATGACTTTCCCAATATAGGACCATATGTTTTTATTTCCTAATGTAGGACCTTTGGTCATTATCATGTAGTCATTATTCAACTAAATGTTCATCATTACTGGACATTATTTCTTCCACTAGGTCATTATTAAGTCCTATTTAGGAAATAAAAAAGTTTAAGTCCTACGTTAGGAAAGTCATTATGTTTTAGTCTTATTTAGTGCAAATTTCACAAATCAAAATAGAAAACCTCTTTTTGTAAATTAAAAAATGGCTGAGCACTCTTTTATACACTTTTTAGCATTTGGCGCTCTTGTATCTACTCCAATTTAATACACTTAGGTATGTTCTTTTGGATTGGAATTTCGGAGTTGGATGTTGGAAGAAACTGGAAGCAGTTAAAAGAAATTAGAAGTTGGATGGATAAAAGTGTTAAAAAGCCACTCAGTTAAATGACCACCCTAATAAATATGTAAGAAAACTCTAATTATGGTCTATGTATACAAAAAACTTTATCCTTGTGCGCTTTGGAGATGATATGTTATAAAATCGGATATATATTATTATTATATACGGAGTATTCATCATATATAAAAAATCTTTCTTGAGTCATTGTTGGAAGAAATTAAAAAAAGTAGGAAGGAGCTGAAATGAGTTGGAAGTTAATTTTTCCAAAACAAAAGAACATGGCCTTCTTAGGTTTAAAATAAAAAAATACGGAGTAATTCATTTTCAAAAAATGTAAAAATTATAAAACTTGTTAAGACTACATTTGCCCATTTGGCATAAAACGAATAAATTATGGATGCATTTGGAGAGTGTTTGGCACTGTTTTTTAAAATTTAGCTTCTGGTTTAAAAGATAATCATTTTATCATCTCTGATACCAACTTCTGATTTTCTTTACCATCATTTTGTAGATAGAATGTTATTTCAGAGAAGTAGATATATGACTATTCTGCTTTCAGCTTTTATGCAAATTACTTTACCCACAAATTAATCTTTCTCAAATACTCTCTTAACTTCAGACTTTTAAACTTCTATCATTAATTCAAATGTATATATAAATTTTAATACTCCGTATTTTTATGCCTCAAAATAAGGCTTCATATAATCATATTGATCTGACGTGATTACTACGAAAATGAGATTCCACTGGAGATAGAAATTTATACAAAAAAAAGAAGAAATATTTCATAATATGAAGGAGTTTTTTTTGCATCATTTACATCTAAATTTTTTAAAAAGTGTACAAATTTCCTCTAAACTTTAAAAACTACTCAATGCCCCCTGAACTTTTAAAAATATTGCACTAATATTCCATCTGTACCAAATTTGAGAGTCGTTTATCAAACACTCATGTAGTGCAAATATGAATTTATCTAAAGTCATACATTGCACGTGTGTCCTTTCACAAACACTATTTTCCATATTTTTAACATTTTAAAACCCTAGATAATTATTCTCGATTTAATAGTCGATAACCGAATTCGAAGGTCGAACATGAGTCGATAAAGCTCTTCATCAATCCATGATATCTCCATCAAGTTCCAATATGTATATTGATCAGCTCATGATTAACACAATCCCAAATTCGGCACAGAGAGATAATTGGTGTAACATTTCTGAAAGTTTATGGACATTGGTAATATTTTAAAAATTTAGGGTGAACTTGTGCAATTTTTAAAAATTTAAAAGCAAATGACACAAAAATTCTAATATAATGTATGAACCACACAATTCTTGGATGAAAAGTGTTGTACCTTATTCCACATAAATAAAAAACAAAGTTTGAAGCAAACAACACATACGTAGACAATAAGGACACAACAAGAAAACAATGATACCTATTTTAAAAAAGAATTCCTAAATAAAACTAAATAAGTATGAAAGTATAACATAATAGTGCTAATATTTTAATCAAGTGTAATTTAATAAATAAAACACTAATGCCCTTTATTTAAAGTTTTAAATAGGGTCACACCACCATCGCCAACCGGCGCGATACTATCTTCTAAGGAACACTCCCATCGTTCGCCCACCACAATACCATATGCAACTGCCATCAGACTTTCATCTATTTGCCGCACACACACTACTATCAGCAACACCACGACACTGATTCAATGATCAATTAAAAATATTACCTTAATAAAAAAATTAATTAATTAATGATCTTTAAAAAAACAAAATAATGATATTTTTAGACGGGTTGAGGCATCATATATGATCAAGTCCCATACAATGTTTTCATTACCAACTGGTGCTCTGATTAATACAGAGCGGAAAGAGGACGTCCAGGCCCAATCAAAAGCCCCGCCTAAGATAGTTATAGCGAATCGACCGAAGAAGAATGTTGGTCGGCCTTGGAGATATCAAGATTACATTTAGTTCTTTTACCATTATTTGTAACATAATTTTTTTAGGTGAGCGAAATTTTAAGCTCCTTCGAGGGTTTCTTTTCGGTTTCTTATATCGATGCTTTTATTGAATCGGCAGGATAGATAATTAGTTCTAATAGAATTAGTGAACTCCTTTTAATATGAAAAGAGCATGTCCTACATTTGGGAGAGTTCAAGTAATAGTAAACAACCTCTTCCCTCTAATAATAAACAATTCCAATTCTGTTGTTTGGTAGCACAAAATTATGTGAATTTGGAATAGATAATGCCAAAAGTGAATAGGAATTAAAGAATTCAATTTCATCCAATTCAATTTCATAGAATTTCAGTTTCCAATTAAATTTCAATTTCGTCAATTCCGTGTAGCAAACGAACCCTAATGAAACTTTACATGTGCAAACATTTGGGCTTTCAGTTAAATGATTAGAAACTATTTGAACACACATTCACACAAAACAACACAAAAACAACATATACACATATTTACAATTTTACATATCCGTTTATCAATCGATTATCTTTAATCAAATACTCCCTCCGTCCCATAAAACATTTCTCCTTTCTTTTTTTATCCGTCCCACAAAACACTTCTCATTTCTATTAAAAAGTCACTTTTACCCCTTACTTTTTCATACTCTAACTATCACATCATACCTTTTTACTAATAATCTATCCATCAAATCATACTTTTACCTATTACATCAAAGGACATTTTTGGAAATTCAATACCAAAATACACTCCCTTTAAATCCCTCATAAAAAGCAAAACTCCCATGTTTCACGGGACGGAGGGAGTATGTTAATATGAAAATATCAATTAGAAAAGGATAATGATATTTTCATATAAACAGATACAAATACAGATAGCGATTATCACTTACAAAATTGTGCGAGCCAATTAGATGATATCATATAAAAAAGAGTGTTGCTAAATCTACTCCAAAAATAGTTATATCCACATATTTTTTTTATATTTTCTAAATTCACACCAATAATATAACTTTAACATTGCCGTAGATTTAACAAATTTAAGCAAAAGAGGTGGTATAGTTATTTTTTTTAGGTGAATTTAGCAACACGAGTAAAAAAACATTTAGAACAAGCCCTATGAAAAGAGAGGCCCAATAGATATTGTATTGAGAGGTTTTAAAGTGTAAGAAGAAAGCCCCCATTAGATTAAATCCTTTCAACCTTTGCTTGCCCTTTGGGTTTTTTATATCCTCCCTTTCCGATAGCGACTCTCCTGATTCAAGTTCCTTCCGAGAAATCAAAGAGAAGAGAGCAAAAAAAAAGATGAAAGTTTTCGTGAAGACTCTCAAAGGATCCCACTTCGAAATCGAAGTGAAACCAGAAGATACGGTACTGTTCTTTCCCCCTTGTTTATCTTTCAACCGTATGCTGAATTATCGCTATTTTTTTATTTGGTAGATGAGAGTACATGTGATCGGCAAGGGTTTTTTTTTTGCGTTGTTGATTCATATGTTTTAGCTTGCATTCCTTTTAATTTTCGATTCAATTGGATGAAAGTTGAGTGTTTTGTGGAATCAGGACTGCGAATTCCTTTATCATTGTGTTCAATTGAGGTTATTAATTAGGGAACTGAATGAACTTCATTCGATCTGCGGTTTTTTTGAGGCATTAATGTTGGTTTGTGTTATCATCGTCTCTGTTTTGATGAGGTTTTTGATCTGGGAACTGAATTGACTTCATTCAATCTGTGGTGTTTTGAGACACTTTAATGCTTCGTTAATTGTGAAAATTTTGGATTTTGTGATCTTTCGGCGAAGACAAGTTGATAGATTTAGCTTTCTGTCTCATTTAGCTTCAAAAACTAGCAGAAATGGGGAGTTCTTGTCACTAATGGGGAATATCTAACAATAATTGTACCCCTAAGGTTTCCAATTGTTGGGTTTAATCTATTGCTGCCTTGATGGTGAAGTATAATTTGAGCTATTACATTGATTTTAGATTGCTGATGTCAAGAAGAACATAGAGACTGTTCAAGGATCAGATGTTTATCCTGCTGCCAAACTGATGCTTATCCACCAGGGAAAAGTTCTTAAAGATGGAACTACTCTGGAGGAGAATAAAGTTGCTGAAAACAGTTTCGTTGTTGTCATGATGTCAAAGGTAAAATCTCTAGTGCTATTAACACACTTGATGAAGAGATCTTAAACCATGCTCTATTGCTGTTAATGATCAAACCATACCAATCATTAAGTACAATATGAATTAAATACGAGCAGGATTCACCATGATTAATATGTTAAAAGATTTTGTTAACATAGTAGCCTTGCTAAATTGCCTAGAATCCATATCTAGCTTCTAAAAGCTGGGAAGGTTTAGTAGCACATTGCCACATTGGTATGCCATAATGTAGATATACCTTCTATTTTCTTGTCAAAGTGTGTTTTCTTTACAGGAAAACTGCATATTACCTTCTGAATGCCTTCAACAAATGGAAAACTTGTAGATTTGGTGCTCTAGATTCTTGTTGATCCATTTTTTCCTTTCTGAAACTACAAATTACCTCAACTAACAACAAACCCAGTTCACCTCACAAAAGCTGGCATACTACATAAGTTTAAATTATGATGGTTGACCAGTTTATTTTCATAATTATATTTGGGGTCTTCAAGTAAGCCATAGCTCGTTTACTATCCACTGTTACTTGAATAACTGATTGAGACCTTTCTTTGCCAAGACATGCGTTAAGTATCCACAGTAACTGAGGACCCCTACATGCTCTCACATGCGCACACATTTTTATAATACTGTTGTGGTCAATGTGAAGGTGCAAATGATTTTTAATCTTCACTGATATTTTTTCTATCTGGGTTTTCAAATTTGTTGCATTTTCAGAGTAAGACTTCGTCTGGAGAAGGTTCAGCATCAGCTACACCAACAACCAGGGTTGGTATTACTGTAATACTGCACATTATGTATTATCTTTGTGCATGTTTCCTATATGTAGTATCTCATGCACAATGTCTTTTTGTATAGCTTTCCACCCAATGCAAAAAAGATTTCTATTATGTTCCAAGTTTTCGCAATTCTTGGATAGAGTAGTATTTTCTTTGTACTAATCTTCAAATGTATATCCATTTAGGTCCCAGTAATTCCTTTAGTTCTATGTCCACAACTAAAAGAGAAAGAGGACTAGGATTGTCTTTCTTTTATTGGCTGCATTTATCATTATACCATAATCCGTACCATATTATGTGACTTGTGAATGACAACTAAACCTTGTTCTATGCATCTGCAGGAAACACAACCTAGCAACCCACCTGCTAGCTCAACTCCAGCTCCTACAACAGTAGCGTAAGTTTTCTGCTTCAAAATTTTCTTGCAATTTCTGTGTTCACCAGTAAAGATGGTTCTGAGTATGCTTCACTATTTTCAATGTTTTCGCTTTTAATACGAGTCAATTTATCATTCTCTCATTTAGAATTTTTATAATCTATATAACGTGTAAATCCTTGCAGGCCAACTCCTGCTCCTGCAGCGACTCCCTCTCCTGCACCTGTGGCACCTACTGGGTGAGATCAACCTTCAAGTGAAGAACTTGGGGCATTCTGTTTGATTACATAATTACTTGATTACATAATTACATCTATATAATCAAGAACTTGTGTGTGGATATTTTATCTTTTACCCCTAATACAATTTACATGGACAGATCAGGAGATGTTTATGGTCAGGCAGCTTCTAGTTTGGTCGCAGGCAGCACCCTTGATGTAGCAATTCAACAGATTCTTGACATGGGCGGGGGAACCTGGGAAAGGGACACTGTTGTTCGGGCCCTGCGTGCTGCTTATAACAACCCTGAGAGGGCTGTTGAATATTTATATTCTGTAAGTCTTCTTCTTTGTGTTTGCATTTATCTTGGATTGTAGTTTGCATTTGTACATATAGAAGGATCTATATCGAGCTTTTAAAAAGACTTTCTTGTGTAATATGAGTTTAATTTGAATGGTTCTTTTTTTAGGGTATTCCCGAGACAGCTGAAGTCCCTCCTTCTGGAGGTGGTAGCCTACCACCTGCAGAGCAAGCTGCAAACCAGCCTGCTCAACCTCAGCAAGCAACCCAACCTGTGATTGCTCCCTCAAGTGGACCAAATGCAAATCCTCTAGATTTATTTCCACAGGTAGAGCTAAGTTCACTTATTTTTTTTAGCAAGTTTTATTTATCCCATCGGATTTGAACAATTTAGTATATCTTGACAGGGTTTTCCAGGCATGGGTGCCAATGCAGGAGGTGCACAGTCCTTGGATTTTTTACGAAATAGCCAGCAGGTTTACCTTTCACTCCTGTTTTCTTACTTACCTGAATCATGCCCCAATTCTTTCACAAGGCAGTGATAATGGGATATGTTGACTATCTTTTATGTTCAAAACACAATTTTTGTTTTCAGTTTCAAGCCTTGAGAACAATGGTTCAAGCCAATCCACAAATCTTGCAGGTTTGGCACTCTATTCTAGAAATCCGTGGTTTATTGAGATATCAAATTTATATAGATCTCATTTATTTCTTTGTTTTTTTGTGGGGCAGCCCATGCTTCAGGAGCTTGGAAAACAGAATCCTCAATTAATGAGGCTTATACAGGAGCACCAGGCAGATTTTCTTCGCATCCTCAATGAACCAGCTGAAGGAGGAGAAGGGTACATTTAGACCTATGTTTTGGACTTTTGGTATACGCGATTGGTATACACAATTACACACCTAATGGTTCATTTTTTTTGTTTTTTTGTCAGCAACGTACTTGGGCAGCTTGCAGCTGCAATGCCTCAGCCTATACAAGTAACACCTGAAGAGCGCGAAGCAATAGAACGTGTAAGTTTTTACTTTCTCCAAGGCTATGGGGGTGTTTCTCTGTGCTAGTCAAAATGGTGAAATGAAAAAACTGGCTTAATACGCAACTTATAAGCCAACTTATATATAAGCACGGTCATCAGCTAACTTATAAGTTAAAAAAAGCTTATAAGTTGTCTTGACCAGCTGATAAGCACAGAGAAACAAACTTTGCAGAATTGTGCATCAATGAGAGAAAAAAATCATGTTTGTCCTACTACTACAATATTGTGTATAGTATCACTGTATAAAAAACATGAAAATATTTGCATAAATTGGGAATAAATCTTCATTCGTCAAATGTTTTTCAGCTTGAAGGGATGGGGTTTGATCGGGCGCTTGTGCTGCAAGTGTTCTTCGCGTGCAACAAGAACGAAGAGTTGGCTGCAAACTATCTGTTAGATCACATGCATGAGTTTGAGTGATTATTACTATGGGGAAATGGGGAGTTTTTATAGCTATATAATAATTCTCTTCTATCTTCTTCTGTGAACTGTGACTACAAGGGATTTCATGTTCTTGGTGTCTTTTGTGTGTCTAATCACAACTCTCTTATAATTATATTATTATTACTCTTATTATGTCCATGTTTGGTACCTTGTAACCATGTTCATATTTCCCATGGAATGAAGTTGAGAATTCAAATCCACATTTCATATTTTTGATGAGTGGTTTTATGAACACTTTGTTGAAGGATCATATGCTCTCTCCGTCTCTAAATTATTGTCACGTTGACGAATACGAGATTTAAGAAAAATAAGAAATTATTCTAATTATTCTCTCTGTCCCATAAACTTTTTCAAAGATAAAAAAAGCTGCGTTCTAAAAATAAGTAAATTTGATATTGTTTTTTAGTTATGATTTCTATATCTTACACATCATATCATACTTTATTATAAAATAAGAAAATAATTAAAAAAATAGTATCAAAATTATACAGAGTTTATTTTTAGGAATGGAGAAAGTATATTAATAATGTATGAGATATTTGGTATTAAATTCTCGGGGTCAAAAATGATGAATTTCTAAAAATATAAATCTCATTTGGGGCTGATAATAAACAATAAGAGGAATTTTGGTACATCAATTATTTTTTTAATTTTTAGTTCTTTAACAAAGTTTACAGATGAGAAAAATGTAGTACTGTGAGTATGACTTTTTATACATAAGTTATTTTTATTCTATAATCCGTATATGTTTTCAACAAAATCTATTATTTTCAACATCATCTAAATGTCAAATGTGTAATACCATTGGCCAAGATTGTTTTGGTCTTGATCAGTTTTTCTTAATAACCTATCTTTGTCATGCATGTTCTTCCAATTCTGATTCCAATCTAGAATTAGTCCTCAACATTTAAGAAAATTACATAGCAATATTATAATTTTTCAACAAGTTTAATTTATATTTAATTTTGGATAATTTTTTAATTGTGCATACATATTAATTTTGAAAATATTAAAATTAAATGCTACCGTTTGACATTTTTTCTGAAGGATAAATCGAAACAATAAATTATTTATGTTCTAGTTTTTGTATCTCTTCTATTAATATTTCCTTTATACGTTAGAAAACTTCACTCCTTTATCATGTGATCTAAATAAGCATTTCACGTTCTTTTAAAAGAAAAGAATAACTATTTCACATATTTTTTTAAAAAAAAGTTGGAAGAGGTAAATTAATTAAAAGCATTCCTCATTAATTGAAAAGGTGGAAGAGGTAACATTAAAAAATGGCGAAAGGATACACTATAAATTTTATACAAAATGCTAACATTAATCGAATGAAAGCCTGTATTATTGAGCAACTAACAAATGAAGAAGAATCTAGAAATAAAATGGTCCACACAAAGTAACAACGAAGATATTCCGACACTACCGTTGTAGTTGAGCAAAAAACTTGAAAGCTATCAGACTCTCATCTTCACTCGTCACTTTCTTTTTTTTAAAAAAAAAGGAACCCCCACCCTATGGGTTCCCTTGTACCCTCAGAGATTGTGAAAGAGGTAAAATGTAAAATGTGCCTCAATTTGTTACTTGAGCATATGGTGAGTTGAAAATAGTCTCTTTACTTTAGATTAATTGTGAGGTCTACTCGAATAACTTTCAACAAGAGTATTATAACTTGCACACTGATCTTGTATGACAAACACTATATCAGTTTAGGTCTTTGCTTTTGAGCTATGCTTAGGGGGCTTAATTTTTCAATTTTTCTAATCATAGTGTGACAATGAATCTAGGAAGGGGTAAACCTAGGAACATTTGGAGATATTGGATTATAGTAGTAAGGTAGACAGATTGAGCTCGATGGCAGTTTTCAAAATTTGTTGTATTCTTTTTATGTTTGATGCTGTTTACTTGGTGTGCTTTCTTTCCATTAATATTTGCTTTGTGTTTTGCTTCCTCGTGCTCAATGTTTTCTCTGTTTTATGTTTCTTCTGTGATCTTGTATTATGTGTGTTGCTGGAGCATATAATCCAATGAAAACAATCTCCTTTATAATAAGTGTAACGTACACACTTTTCCAGACCCAACTCTATTGGGACGATGTAGGATAAATATCTAAGATAATACTAGGAACTCACTATCCATGTCTCCATGCAAGACAATATAGATTATTTTATATTTATGCAGATAATAATAATTTATGTAATTTATACTTCCTCTGTCCAGAAATATTCTTTCCATTTGACTTTTTTTGGTCAAAGTTTGTAAATTTTAACTATGATATGTGGAAAAAATACATTGTATTACGATATAACTTTAATATGAATATATTCATTTTGAAATATAGTTTTCAAATATTAAATATTTATAAAATATATCCATGTATAAATAAAGATATTAGTGGTCAAAGTACAATTTTGAAGACCGTAAAAATTCAAATAAGAAGAACATTTTTGAACCGAAGTATTATCATGTGCGTGCTTAGATATAAAATCATTTATTGGCAAGGGCATTGATGGTTGGTCCAAAATTTTAATACTTCAAGGGCGTATAAATTAGTCAACTTTCTTTTTTTTTTAAAAAAAATAATTTCTCCGGACTGGACTTTTTGTCTTTCTTCTAAACATTGGTTCCATCGATCGTCACGACCAAAATTGGGAGTTAAATTTGGAGGGAAGAACGCAAACTTAGTTCTAACAGACTCACAGAATTATGGCCTCCCGATTCCGATCCGTCTTCTCCACTACTCCAAAACTCCATTGTTGCTCCAACCGGTAAGCTTCCTTCCAAGACGCTTTTCAATTTTCATCTCTCCCGATCCCCCCCTTTTTTTGAATTTCCGAAAGCGGTTGACCGGAATTGAAACGATGTTCTTCTTCTCTCGCGGAGGGTGACGACGGCGGAAGCATCTGGCGCGGGGATTTCCGGAGATTCTATGGAGGAGGATGTCGCCGGCGACGGGTCCAGGACGCCGTTGTCGGCGGTGGCGGACGCGTTTGAGCGCCTTCTCGCGGAGATGGAAACGGAGGGGTGCGGTTTTATCAGGTTGAAGCCCTTCTGCGAGGCGTGCTCTCTGGTTTCGGTCCTTTTTGGGTGTTTAGGGATTGCCTTTAAATTCGCCGAGCTTGAATATGCTGCTAAGGTTTTGTATTCTTCTCCATTGCTTACTCTCTTCAGAAATAGATTGATTGAAACAGATAGCTATCTTTGAAATTTCAGCACCTAGAGCCAGTATGGGAGTTCGAAAAGTTTGTTTATCGATAGAACAACTTAAAAGGAGTACAACATTCAAAAGATTAGAAATCACAGCGCTCGTCTTCTACAAAATTATTTGATACCATTTAGCTTTTTTGGATTATTCTTAATAGTGAGGATTAACTTTCAAAACGTTAAAGCTAAACACTGTTGTTAGATAGCTTTTTTCAAATAATTAAAGCTATAGTTGTTGCAAAATAGACACTTAAACAGCCCCTCATCATCTCATTCTCAAACATCTAGTTAAGCATTTTATAATTGTAATACACTAATACCAAGCTGGTTGTAAAACAAAGTGGAAAAAGTAGAATCATGTGATTGACATAAGTGTTTGATGAGAATTGTTATTGACATAAATTAGAGTTGACATAAAATCAGGTATAAATGAGTGTTATTGGCATAAATTAGAGCAGATGAGAAGTGTTTGACGGGGTTTTGGTAATTGTAGCTAGTATCATTACAATTTATGGGAATTTCTATCATGTTTCTAGTCAAGGTTAGGGACATGCTGAAGTGTAAACCTTTCAAATTACTACTTGAATTGAAAACATCCATGTATGATCACTAAGAAGATCTCATTGTCTCACTTTTGCTCTTCTTTTGTGCTTATTGTCATTGTTCATACATTTATTGCCTTATAATTATGATCTTCTCTATCCTCTCAGGTTCATAGCCTCGCTGATGCATCCAAGAGATACAAAACTTTAGAAAGTATTCTTGATTATGATGTAAAAAATGACACTGTCAAAACAGCAGGGAGTTTATCCCGCAATTTACGCAGAGTTAGGCAGGGTTTACATCTTATCAAAGATATATTCCAGAATTTTATGTCGTCCGAGTATGCGCTTAATTTTCCCACATGTTCTTTTCTGTAACCCGGAAAATGCTAGGGAGATGGAATCAAATGCCAACGGAAATAACTCTCTTATGTCTGGTTTTACTTTGGAAAAATGAATTATGATAGTTTATTCAAACCTTTCTTTACATATACCCAAAGTATATAAATAAGTAAATAGAGTTTAATTGAATATCTAAAACTAATCCATTGTGTTTCAACATACTGAGTATCATTTATCTACCCTCCAAAATTTTCTTTTTTTTTCTCCAATTTGACTCCTATTTCTCCTCCCTAGTTTCTTTCCCCAGCATTTTTTGAGTACCAAATGGACCCTTAGTTACCCGTGATTTGATACAATTGTTGATGCTATTTGATTTGCTCTCTACAGGTATAACTCATTGAGAGATGCAGCTTCAACAGCATATGCCAAAGTTTGTGCACCATATCATACATGGGCTGTCAGGACTGCTGTCTGTGCTGGTATGTATGCACTCCCAACTCGGAACCAACTTCTGGAGAGGCTGAATGAAAATGGTGAGTGTTTTCCCTTTTCTTTAATTAGGACAGATAAAATGCTCGAAGCATGATTCATTTCTTAGAACTGAGGGACTATCCTTCTATCAATGTGGCCAGATTGATATTTTGTTCAAACACTTAGAGATGACGATAAGTTCTTTTGGGATTTTAAATGGTGACTTAAAACTTAAATAGTCATTGCTGTCAACATGCTCTAATTTTGACAAATATTGAGTATATCATTTCACTATATTGCACTCGGGTACTTAAACCGTGGCTGTATTGGCAACTGTTTTGGACAAAACCTCATCAAATTCATGTAAAGGTTGTAAATGCGGAGATAAACACCGGGGGTGCAAAGTCTAACAAAAAATCAGTATTTGCACTCTATATTATGTAGAAAATAAAGCGTGCTGTGCAAAAGCGAGTAATGCAACAAATATGAGATGCAAATTCTAAAATTTATTATATGAAAAATACTACTCTGTAGAATTTAACGACGGTTTTATTTCACAATTACAATACTGTGGCAGATGTGTCAGCAGAGAAGGAAATGAGAAGATACATCAGTGCTTCACAACCCATCATTGAATACATTGACAAGCTCTACCTTTCAAGAAACATCACTTTGGATTGGTGATCCTCTCATCCTTTGGTTTTGCTTGGATGGATATACTGCAAATAGCAAAGTCTCTCAAGTCAAGAAGATAGGTATATCATTGTAAGAGTTAGATTGGTTGCATAGAAACATTAGCATATATGTAGTGTCATTGTTATTTAATAGATGAAAATTGTTCACAATTTAAGGGTCCGTTTGGTACATGGAATTGAAGGAATTGGAATTGAAAGTCTATGGAATTGGATTGAATTGAATTTTCCAATTCCCATTCATTTTGTACACTACAATTCCAAATGCACATATTTTTCTGCTACCAAACAACAGTAATGGAATTCAAGTCTCTTATTCCAATTCCATGGCTTGAATTCCGTGTACCAAACAGAGCCTAAAAGTTTTTAGACTTGAATTCATAGTGGGGCCATTCAAAAGTTTGTGAACCAACTCAATCAAGATTCAAGAGGAATATCTTGAAGGGATGGGTACCCTAGCTAGTTGGTGGAAGTAAGACTTAGATAACTTGTTCTTATGGTCAAGAAAAGAATGCTTTTGCAGCCATGTCAAGATTGGTTCAAATGATATCTTTATTATGGCCATTTTTTAAAGTCTCCATAACATTATTATTAAACACAATGCAAGCTTGCATATTCCTTGTTTTACACTGAGGATTTCCTTCCCTATTATTAACATATGTTGAAACATCTGTTTTCTCATGCTCATTTAAAACCACATACAAGAGTTTAGAGAGGAAAAAGTTTAACTTTTTATTCCTTAGAATCATAAGAATCAGTCAATCTGGGGGCCTCTCATTCCTCTAAATCTATGTCTAACCACGAGGTATGATATACTTTTCAATTCACGTGTCCTGAAAAGAGAGTTAATTTACTCTATTTCTCCGCGTGGTTTGATTGTTTTGGTCAAACTGTATCAACTTTAATGATCAATTATTTTTAATTGGTATTGCATACTAATACAATAAAATTAAACTTCCAAAGTTCACAATAAAATAAATCTAATGAGATTATTTTTATACTAATATACATTATAATCTGCAATTTTTATTATATTGAGGCACAAAAGTTGTCCATTTTAATTTAAAAAAACAAATTAAATGAATTTACTGGGAAAAAACTAGTAATTCGTATAATGTATGATGACTAACTAAAATTATAGTACGTGTTCAATTTAATTTATTACGGAGTACTACATATAATTTATGATGGCTGACTAAAAATGTAATACGTATTCAATTTATTTATTACTCTCTATTATTAATGATGAAGTATAATTTTTAGTATAGAAATGAAAAATAAAATTTTAACTCCCTCCATCCCAAATTAAAAATTCATTTTGATTAGATACAAAATTTAAGAAAATTGTTAAATTATAAAAAGTGGCCAGATTTGATATGAAAAATAGAAAATAATGGTCATAAATGATTTACCGAAACCCAAACTTTTACTCTTTCTGTGCCAATTTATATTGTCTGTTTCAATTCACGATATTTTACTGGATTATTTTATTTTATTAAATGACTACATCAAAAGATAGTTATGACATGACTATTTTATTTAATCAAATGAATGCAGAAAAAATGAAAAAAAGTGAGTAAAGTTTGGCCCTACGAATAGTAAACGTACAATTTGATTTGGGACGGAGGGAGTATTTCATAACGAACCAAAAAAAAATTGTGTTTTATTTTAAGACAAATAAGCAATTAAAATTACATCATTCCCCCTCCCCTGTCTAAAAAGAGGCTAACGTTTTTCTTTTCGAGACATTCCAAAAAAACGCCCATTTTACTTTTTAGAAAATTTCGTGTCTCATCATCATTCTCTCTCTTCAGCATTAGTGTCAACTGCACAATTTTACATTTTATGCACTTTGTGCCACCACTCAACCAGTAGGCTTTTCTTAGAACGAAGAGGGTAATTTTGTCAAATAATTAATGAAAATATATAAAGAAAACAAATATAAATTGGTCGTATAAGAATAGTAACATGATTTTGTTTTTGGTTCAACATTGTGACATCATTTTATCAACTAGCACACGTTTTTTAAACAAGAGATATGTATTGATCAAATAGCTTCAATGTGGTGGTACATAAAAATAATAACATGAAGGTCTGCGGCATGGAGATGCGGATCAATCTGGACTGTCCTGCTTGTTGCAAGAAAATGGATAGAATCCTTTTGAGGATGAAAGGTGCTCCATCCCTCTCATAATTTTCTTTTAATAGACGTCTCACACAATTTTTAATAAAATAAAATTTATGTAATCATATTTTGTGTAAAAGAAAGAGAAATATATGTAGCACATAATTTTTTTCTCAAAAGAGATCTCAAATAAGGGAAAAGGAAAGTGGACTTAAACTTGTTATATATACCACCTTCAATGCATTTATACCAAAATAACATCTATAATATCAAAAAGTATTGTGAAATGCCAATATATAATGCTCCCGCCGTTCTCCAGAGATTTATACTTTTCATTATTTAAAATCAGAGGAACTTTTATTTATTTAATTTGTGTTTTTTATTGAGTATTTGATGAATTAAAACATTTCTGTAACCTCATGTTTTGTAGAATTTTTAATGTACTTTTTAAATATGCAAGTTATATTGTTTATTTCTATACCAATCTTTTTTTGTAAAATTTATATACTAATTTTTAAATAAAGTGAATGTAAAAAAAACTAAAGAGTTTACTTCTTTGGCATAAAGCATAATTCATTTAGGGACAAAAAGAGTATCAAATTGCAGATGTTTCATATATTGTTCACGAGATCAAACTTTATTAATAACTCTTTCAGCTTATTTTAACAAATGGTTTTGTTAATTTGAGTGGTGAAGAAATAGAGAAGCGCAAGATAGACGGGAAGAACAACATGGTGGTGGTTTGTGGGAGATTTGATTATGCAGAGGTAGCCATAAAGATCAGGAAGAAGATGAGACGCAGGGTTGAGATTTTGGATGTCCAGATGTTCACCGCCCAACCCGAATAACCCAAATCGGGTGTTCTTCCATGTAACACAATGAGTAAATGTAGGAGATCTTCTATTCCAAAAATGTTGTCCCAAACAGATGTCTCACTCTTAAGGAATGATATATTTAACTCGTAAATTTTTCTTTCTCCTTCACGAATTTTCAATTAGAACTTTTACCTTTTAAACTCCTTAAAGTCAAACCATAAACTTCAATGTGCATGAGACGGGCATGAGAAGGCCATAAATAAACTCACATCATCCATTAATTAGATCAGATAATGAAACTAGCAGATTTCAATGTGCCCAAAGACTTGCAGAATGTGGAATAGAGAAGCTCCAATATCATAACATATGAGCCAAACGAGCCCTCACTGACCTCTCAAACGCTTCTTGCCTTGTTGCATCAGATCCGCAAAGGACTGCAAACTAACACCAACGTCTTCATCATACTCGATCCCAAGTTCCTCCTGGGAATGTGAATGCTCATTTGAAGATTTAACTCTTTGCTTTTGGAACTAATGAACCAATGAAATAGAGAATGTAATGTTTGTTGTGATTGAATACCTTGAATTCTTTGATATCCTTGGGTGAGTTCTCGGTGATAGCATCCCATACGTCTTTGAACATTCGCTTGCGCTTTCTCCACTGACTTATCATCTCAGCATACAAATCCTCCACAGCTTTCCTCTCTTCTGGAGTTACTAGAGTGACTCCTCCTCGCAACTTAATCAATTTCTTTTCCATCTCTTCGGCCTGAAAATGGCAAGATATTCAGAAAATGTATTGCACAAAACACCTTCAGTTGGCAGGAACATTACATAGCTTTTTTCCCACCTCGTTTCTTTGTGTGGCCTCCCTGACGCGTATTTCTTCCAATGTCAGATTTGATTGCAAAGCTTTAATTTCTGCAACGGCAGTGTAAAATTATTAAAGCATGGAGACAAACACGGAGTATCGAAAATAAATTTAATAAGTTTGAAGAGATGTTTTGTCTTTCTCCCTCATTTTCTTCCAAAGTTTCACTATATTTTGGAAGTTCCAAGCAGGCCCTAAGAACACTTAGTAGGAGAAAAAGTGATTTCCTTGTGCAAAAAGGTTTAAAGAGCCCACCTCCTTCAACCTCACTGATTGCTCTCTTTTGTTCATCCACCATATCCTGGAGCTTTGCATTTTGTTCCTTCATTCGGTTGAGCTCTTCAGTGTCTGGAATATCAAACTGATCTTGCCTAGCAAGATATATCTTTTGCTTTCCATATTCCTTGAACGTTATCTTTCCACTGTCAGCAAGACCGTCCAGTGCTTTTTGTACTGCAGCTTTCTTAAGGTTAAACTTTTGCAGAGAATCAGCCACATTTTGAACATTCAGAGGTTTATTTTGCTGGGGCAAATCCAAAGACAAAGGGAAAATTTAAAATGTACTGTCTGAAGAAAGAATAGTTGATGGATAAGCAGATACAAGTATTGGCTGTATGGCAAAAAATACAATTCAAAATGTAAAGCAGCTATTGAATGGTGACAATAACGAATGAATACCCCATGCCAAATAAATCCCTTATAAACCTCATGAAGCAATTAACACCACTCTTTATACATTGTGCGTAATGCTCAACTGTTAAATACGAAGTACTCCATATACTAAAAATGATAAACCCATCTTCAACTTAACATATAGAAAGGCTCTCTATGCAGTAGTTTGTAAAATGTGGCTTATTAACACTTTCACATTATGCAGGAAGAGCGAAGGAAACAAAAAAAAAAGCTCGGCAAGCCTAATTTATGAAGTAAATTTGGCCTGTACCATCTCTCAAACAAAGCTCAGACCAAATCAAATTACCGAACCCATTATATCGTACTCAAGCGCACAAGCTGGGAAATAAGATCTATGTAACTCTACTCTAAGAAGTAGATAGACTGCTTCCCATAGAACCCTAGCAATGAGTAGACAATTCAGATGAAAGAATTTCTCGCACAATCTACCCAATGAAATATAGTACACAAAACGCAAAAATAGTTGTTTTTCACTAAACTTTTCAGGGAAACACATAATCTAACACACAACGTCCAAATCCAACATCAGCTAAAAAGATTAAAGGTAGCAGATAAGGAGTTATCATCAACTCCAGCAGAAATATCTAAGGAAGACAGTACCTTTACAGCTAAATGGTTTCAACCGCGTACAGGAAAAAATCGATTAGAAATTACAGTCAGAGTTACGTGAAGGGGAGTTAGAAACATACCTCGTTCACGAAATTGAGCACAATTCCTGAAATTGCAAACAGACGAGAGAAGATATTTCGTAAATTGCGTAGCAGATCTGACTGGCAGTTCTCGATATGAAAATCGAACAGAGTTTCAAATGGAGTTGCAATCGAGAATATAGAGAGAGGATTACCTTCGGCGTTATCCGATTTCGGAGGCATCGGACGGAAATTTTGAAGGAATTCACACTGAAGATGAAGACCGTATTAAGAGCGCGGGAAAAACGTCTGCAAGTGGCCACCTAAATCCTAGCTTCGAGAAGGAAAAATGTTTGCTTCTCATTACTAAAATAATTTTAAAATAAGAAATAAATTTGTGAAATTTGTGACTATTCTGTTTCTAAACCTAATATTGCTCATAAGCAAAAAGGCTGAACTAATCAAATCAGATCAATCTCTTGAAAAGATTAGTATTATATACTGTACAACATAATCGGCCAGTGTTTTTTATAAACCATTCAAAACTAGCTTGGTCTTTATGGAAAAAAAAGAACCTTTTGAGACCGGGTAGTCTAATTAAGACCGGTATATGTCCGGTACGATCCTTAATATGTAAAATTATTTAAAAAAGATTCAAAAAAAATAATTGTTAAAAATAAAAAAAAAATGTTTTTGATTATTTAGTTTCTTTTTTAATATACTTTATTTATTTATAATAATTATGCAACATAAATATTGTTATGTGAGATTTAAAGTGGATATAATCAACGAAAAATAAACTTGATATGTACGTTTTAAGTTTTATAGATATGAGATTTTTTTGTTATCATTTATGTGTAAATTCTTAAATAAAATATGTAATTTATTATACTCTTTATTGATATGATTAACATATTTATATGAAATTTAATTTTAAGGTAGAAATATACATGAATAAAAATTATATTTCAAATACATTATACCTCCAGTCCTAGTGCGATTCCAGTCTAATATTTTGGAAAAGACTACTTGGTTCGGGATCGGTATAGTCTTTTTTAACAAATCAAGAACTAAATACAAGACCAAATCGACGAGGCTCAAGGACCACATCATTCCCATCTTTTTAGTCTCAATCTCAATCTATCATGATCAATCTTTTTTTATTCTAATTTTTATGCCCATCACTAATTATACACCTACGTTTTCATTACAGTATTTTATTCTATCACATCAAAAGCAACACATGAAATTTTTTTTAACTTTTAACTTTTCTTAATATTCGTGCCAAATCAAATCCTAAAAAATTTGGACAGAGGGAGGATTTTAAATTGATGCATACTAAATTATGGGGGCAGTTCGGGCGACATGAACCCCACGAATGACATGAGTCTTGAGGACATTTACAATACTCCGTTTAAAAAATTGATGGTTCATATCTTTCTTAATCACCCTCCTCTCGTTAACCATCTTATGGGAGAGGTTTGAAAAAAATTGTAATAAGTTGAAAACAATTACTCTCCGTTTTTAGAACACTTCCGCCCTAATTTTTTGCGCACTCCGTAAAATACTTTTACTTTCATCTAAAATGTCTAAAATACATTCTGTTCATTACAGGTAAAAGTTATTCTTGAGGTATTTTACAAATTTTAGGTAGAGTAAAATTATTTTGCGGGGAGCACAAAAAATTAGAACAGAAGTGTTTTCAAGAACAGAAGTAGTAAAAGAATATTAATTAATGACTGCATGTTGAATTCCACTCAGTGGCGGAGCCAGGATTTAGGGGTAGTGGGTGCGCTATACCGTGAGCTCGGGAGTCGTGCCCCAAATATTTATTTAAAAAAATAATACGGAGTAAAAAACAATTAAAAAAAATTAATGAATTTATGTCAAGCTAACATTCATATAATTTAAATATAAGTATTTTAAGAAATATTATGCATGCACTCAATTTCTTCATCAAAACTGTTACGGAGTAATTTATAAAACAAGTGTTGATTTGAGCATAATCTTCATATTAATTTAATAAAAAACAATTTATTAATTTGAGCATAATCTTCGTAAAAAACTGGACAAATACTCCGGGACGGACGGAGAGAGTATTAATTTAATAAAAAAACAATAGATATTAAAAATAACACAAAATTAGTAGAGAAAAAAAATCATATTATCAATTGATGTGGGCCATGTGGCACGTCTCGAGCTCCACTATACAGTCTCTGCCCCCACTGCTCTGCTCCGCTATGTTCTGCTATGCTCTCTCTCTCTCCCCCCCCCATATATATATATATATATATACTAAAAAATAAAAATTGGAGTGACTGCAATTGCAGTTAATTGCTCCTCTTTGGCTCCGCCCCTGATTCCACTTACAAATTTAGTATGTAAATTCAAGATTAAACTAAGTGTACCCCAAGATTTACCCCACTGATTTGCACCTTCATTTTGTATCTGTGTAATGCTAGGGTGATAGTTCACACATACACAAAATGCGAATACAATTTTTTATTAACGCACCAACATTTTGTGTTAGTGTGAACAATATAAAAATATTAGTATATACCTTTGGTGTAACTTTGAGGTACAATTTTTGGTATAAGTGTAGCATGGTCAATAAATTAATGACTAGATTATGCTTTTTGGAATTTTGTACAAAGATTCTGAACGTTATTGAAATCTCCAATGACACACCAGGGAATGTGAATATTGACTGCCATCTGTTCAAGATCAGACCACAAACTTCTTCTAAGGTTGGCATCATTATGCCCATACACAAAAGTGATAAAGAAATTCCATCCCCTAATCTCTTATCATGTAACTTATGATGATAGTTTTGGCAATAGCATAGTTGTGCATTGAACATGCTAGGCATTACTTTTGACAGTAGTCTTATTTTTTACATGTTCTTAAAAAAATCTTTAACATTAGACCAAACCAATCTACTCGTATTCACTAAGTATGTACACAAGTGGATTGCTATTGCCTGCCCCTTTCAAGGAATCAAGGTAATTTGCTTAACTCGATCTTCAAAATGGTTAATGGAGTGAAGAAGCCATTTGATAAGTTTTGGATTTAAATACTTATCCTGAATAATAGCCAGGGCACATTAGCAAATGTGTCTTTATACAATTGTGAATGAGCTACAAATAACTTGAGCATGTCGAGAGCTACAAAGATTGTACTTCTCGATTATGCTTAACAGGGGCATGAGGTACTGTCAATGATTCTTTGTTAACAGGACTGTAGTTTGTTAAAGGATTTGAGAGCTTTTTTTTGTTTCTATGTGGACTATGCATCAACTGGTTAGTTATGATAAAATACTAGGTACCCTTTTTTGTTTGAGGTTTATATGTTTGAAACTGTTGAGATGTTGTACAATTTTTATTGAGGTTTCCAATGCTCTTACAAAATGCAATCTTTGTTTTTATTTTTTATGAAATGTATTTTCACATTTCAGTTAATGTTGCTAGGGATGGATTTACAATATTTATTGTGGTATCGGCTGATCAAACTCCATATTTTCTCAACTAAGTAATATAGAATATATAATGATATTTACCCGTTCTGCTTTTGCTTGGCCCCTTCAAAAAACTTTTGACATCACTATTCCTTTGTTAAGAGCTTGTGAGCATAACAAAGCCTAAAAATATTTAAACAACCATGTCGTTTCGATCAATTTTGACTTGGATTACAATTTTTGATTTTCCGAACACAGACCTAATCAAAATCATGCAAATATAGTTGTAATAAAAACATGGGAGCTACTTCTTATGTACCACTTTAATCACATACACTATTCATATGGTTAAATTTTATATATTTTGTTTTTTTATTTTTGTTATTCATTTGATAAAATAATATAATTATGTCATCTCTGATTTGTAGATTTTTTGATATATATATTTTTAATATAAAATTTTTATTTTTAAATTTTACACATATAATTAAATAAACTAAATTACTCTCTCTGTCCTAAATTATTTGCCACACTTGTTTTTTTAAAAGTCGCGGGAACTTTGTTTATTTCTACGTTTTCATTGGTTATTTGATAAAATAAAATATTTTTAACACCTCTTAATTCGAAGAACATTTCATTTAGGAGTAAATCATGAGGCAAATCCTCAAAATATGAGTCTCTAACTTATATGCCCAAAATATGAGTAATTAATAAATGCCCCCTCCTCCTATCTTGATCGATCGGCTCCCCTTCTCCCAATCATTGTCTTCTCTCTCATTCTTCTTTCTACTCTCAAAATAGTTAGGTAATTTTTAAATGTACTTTGGAGTAAATTATTACCATTATTGTTTTTTTAGATTTTTGTTGTTGGCATTGTGGTACAAAATTTGGCATTGTATGTTGGCATATCACAATACTTCTTGACACTTTACAGTATTTATGACATTATATATTGACATATTTAACATTATCCAGTGACATGTGTGTTATTATATATATATACATTGCAATCTTTGACATTATTGTTTCGGTTGACATTGCATAGACAATTCTTTTTTACAGTTATTTGTGGCATTATGACACTCAGGAGGCGACAATTGGAGATCCTTATGGTGTCAATGGTGGTGGAGACAGAATTGGTGGCGTTGGTAGCAATGTGAAAAATCACCGCGAGGGGTAGATTGCAGTGTTGGGGCACGACGGCGGCGACCGGATGCAAGGACCCAATTTTTTCATTTTAGGGATGTACTCAATAACTTATGTTTTGTTTATTTTCCTTTTTGTTTTTTTTTTCTCTTTGATTTTTTCTATATTGGTCAAAACATAGCCATGCAAGAAAGAACTTACAAATGAGTGCCTTTGGTGTTTACCCGCAGCGAAATGAGGAGAACGGAGGTCTATAAGCTTTAAGAAATGAATTTAGTTAAATAGGGAGTATTTAAATTACTCCTATTTAGCGGAGTTTTCTTTTCTACTCCTATTTTGACATATTATCAATGTCTTGCTCCTATTTTGCTCCTTAACCCTAAAAATAAAGTTTATGATAGAAAGTACGGAGGAATGCAGGGTATAAGGGAGGGAATATAGTCCGCAATATATATAGCCATATAGGGTTTAAAAACGGCATTCTCTCAAATAGACCCGAGTAGGGGTATACGAATCGAAGCAAATATATCACTATTCGATTCGTATTCGATTAAAGTGATATGTATTCGAATTCGAATTTTAAAAAAACATTCGTATTCGATAGATATTTGACGTATTTGAATTCGAAAATATTAGTAATTTTTTTTAAAACATATTTCTTAAAGACATTAAATTATTATTTTATAATAATGTAAAATGTAGTAAAAATATGTTAGAATATACATAAATTTATTTATAAGTTATAATATTCGAATATATATAAATTTATATGTACACAAATATTTAATATATTAGAATGTATATATATATATATATATATATATATATATAAATTTATTTATAAATTATAATATTCGAATAATTTGAATAATAAACGAATCGAATCTATTAATATCTATATTCGAATTTGAAAATAGTTCGAATCTAAAATATGATTTGTATTCGGATTCGAATATAACGAATACGAATCATCATTTTCGAATACGAATCACGAATCGAATATATTTTATTTGATTTGTATGCACCCCTAGACCCGAGTAGTCCTGAAAAAAGATTGAAGAGAGAGAGGGCGTCAGGCTAGGGTTTTTCGCGTGGATTGAAAGTAAAAAAGAATGGAGGTGGAGAGGCGATGGGGTGAGGAAGATCCGTTAGCCGGCGACAGTGGGTGTGGAGAATGGATTCATAAACGCTCGACGCGTCGCCTCCGATTGAGGTCGCATGAGCGTTCATCAGGTTCCTCCCCGATAACTTTTATGTTCTTATGCAAGTATTATTTGATCAATTGATAAAATATAAATTCTTGTTTTGTAGAATTCTTGATCCAGTTTTGAATGGTGTAATGTGTATTATGAGTACTTTTTGTTTCTATACCAATTTGTAAATAAAATTATTTTAACATCAAAAGATTGCATCTTTAATTTGATTCATTATTGTTGCATAGATCCGAGGCTGAAGCTGTTGGACGAGAATGCATTCTTTCCAGGTGTATCCAAGCCTCGGCAATTCTGGCTCAAACATTCATTCCTTTATGCCTGCTTCAAAGGGACATCCGTCAACCTCGATCCCCCACCTGCTATAATTGAGGAAGAGGAGATCGGATCTCGTTTTGATGCCGAATACCCCATTTACAAGCCCCAATCCCTCCTACATGAGCCAATTGCTGGGTTAGGCAAACAGGTAGATGTTTTAGAGTTGCTAGGAGATAACCTCTTGAGTTTCTACACCAGTAGCCAAAATGTTCCTAGCATTCAACCCACCGAATCAGACACGGGTATACCATGTAAGGGTAGTCCTAATGTTCAAAGGAATCCACCCCCGGAGTTTACAACTTGTGTTAATGTTGTTGATAGGAGGGGCACTGTCATGGCCTATTCCCCAAGCACAACACCAGGGAAAGGGAATGTTAACATGGTAAGCACCCTAGACCTAAAAGGTAAATACATTATGATTTGTTGTGTGTTTGTGCCTTCGTTATGGAGTTCATGGGATGGACACATGGTTCATCACACAGCTTTAGCTTCTCATGAGCTTGCTGAAAGAGAAGATTTTGTGACGGTGGTGGTGCCAATGATGAGGAAGGGTTTCACTCGTTCTTCCTCTGCCTATGAACACTTCTTGTCGGGCTTTTCCTGTCTTGCTGTCCCTTTCCACGAATCTCAACGGCGCGAGTACATTTGCTCAGCACTTGGTTTTGATGGTATGCTTAAAGTTTTGATTCTAGATCCTTCTCAGAAGGTCATTTACCATGACCAGCCCAGCATGTTTTTTCAGCATGGAGCAGCTGAACCGGGTTTATTTCCTTTTACTCCGGAGAGTGTACCTAAATTTTCACTCCATGATTATTTTCTGGAGAATCGCTCCCTCAACCAGATTTTGGGCCTCAGTGACAGTGATGCTCTCTACAATATTGAATATCTAGCTGGTGGCACGGGGGAGGAGGATGGCCGGATCACTATATCGGAACTTAACAGAAGGTTTGTAGCACTTTACGTGTGCTGTGATGGCGCAGGTTTATGGAAGCTTCAGGAGGTTTACAAGGAATGTAGGCGGCGAAATTATGAGCTCGAGATCGTGGTGGTGTGCATTCCCTTCCGTGACCAGTTTCCCCCAAAGTTTCAGGAGGAGTTTATCATTAAAACTCTTGCTGAAAGTTTTGAGTTGCTAGACTGGTGGTTTTTCCCCTTCAACAACACCATATCCCATAGACTATGGGGAATGTGTGAACTTGACAGATATGGAGAGGGTGTTTTCGTATTGGATCCCATTGAAAAGTATGTGGATCCTTATGGATTACAAATGATGTATCACTTTGGCATGGACGCATATCCCTTTACCAGGAAGAAATATATTGACAAGGAACTTCAAAGGAAAATGGGGATGAGATTGAACTCGTTATTACTTCCTGTGGCAAATGTTTGTTGCAAGAAGCGTGGTTCCGGCGGCTCCATTGTTGAGAAACCCGTGGCGAAAGTGGTTGAGAACAAGAATGTTGTTCTTTATGTATACGAAGAGGGTATGAAATATCTAGCTGATGACCTGGCAGCGTGGTATGATAAAAACATCAAGGGAAAGCATCCAAATGTTGAGGTGCTTACCCTAAGCATGGATGGTAGCCGCACTAGTGAAGATGACTTCCTTAGTATGGGGTGGTGGGTTTGCCGTGCGGGCCCATCCAAGTCAGCCAAAGTCAGGGATGAATACTGCCACCCTTGCTGTGTGACGAACGAGATACTGGTTGCATTTGGTGAAGATGGCAAGATTCAATGTGTGGATAGTCAACTATTTGAATGTCAAGGTCCTTTCCGTGGCGGGGATTCACGCCAGGAGATTGCTAGGGAATTTAAAAGGTTCGGGTACGATTACATGCTCCGCTTTGACTCCACCATTGAGCCCAAAAAAAGTGTACGGTTTTGATGAGCTACTTATATTAATGGACCCAATTGTCACAACAACACAGTGTTTCGTCACATTTGCCAATCTTTTTTCCTTGTGCATGTTTGCAAATTGCAGTCAAAAAGGGGACGATTGATATGATTTATACACCACATTATAAACAGAAACAATTATTCTGTTTAGGTGTGTTGCCAAGATCATGTATATGATTTATACACCGCATTACAACAAGAGATGGGCCTGAAGTCCTTTGGAGAATTAGGATTATCAAGCTTGGGTGACGTTTGTAGCTTTGATCTGCTTTAGACTGTTGATACTTAAAAAGTCTAGCTGATTTAGTGTTATTATGTAGCTCTTTAGCAAGGTCCTTTTCTTGGGATAACAGATTATTTGTTGGGGGGAGAAGCAACAAGTAGGATACGACACCTACACGGATCAACTTCAAGACAACCAACCAAACACTCTTAACCCAATTTACCACAATTGATAAACCAAGCACACAAAATCAGCAGCACATCAAATAAACCACAATCAAATATGAAGAATAAAGATGCAAACGACACACGATTTTTATACATGGAAAACCCCTTCGATGTGAAGGATAAAAACCACGGGACTTATAGGGAGTCCGCCCTCTTCTTCTCTTATTATGCAAATTGAGGGTAAAAACACCCAAACTCAGTCTACAAGGATGTCACGGCTCACCAACAACAACATACATAAGAGCCACCAACAATAAAGAAGAAAAAATCAGAAATATCACCCAAAAAACGCAGGCTGCACCAGCTGCCCAGCACCTTTACTCCTTTTTGATAGTCAACAAAGGAAACACATCATTGGGCCCTCCACCCTAGAAAAAAATGGAAAGCAAAAGTGGGTTGGACCCACAACATTATTGTTATTAGAATCAAACTTGGCTGCCTGCTGAACTTTATGCAGCTGATTTCTAATTAAATTAACTTGTTGATGAATATGAGAAAACTTGCTTTTATTAAGCTTTTTGAGATGTCATTTAAGAGTTTCGAGCTTCTGAGTCAATTGGAACATGTAACTTCCCTCAGTATTTTGTTTCCAAACATTACCCACAATGGACAATGATCAGATGCCCCTTTCCAGTTTCCATGGTAGTTCTACGAGTCCACAAGCATCAATACACTGTTTGAATTTCTTGGTCTCTTCCAAAGATATAAGATTACCCCCAACCTGTCATCAAGATTCTGAACGTTGTTGAAATCTCCAATGACACACCAGGGAATGTGAATATTGACTGCCATCTGTTCTAAGGTTGGCATCAGACCACAAACTTCTTCTAAGGTTGGCATCATTATGCCCATACACAAAAGTGATAAAGAAATTCCATCCCCTAATCTCTTACTCTTATCAATAACATCCTTTAGTAATTTTAGCAACTTTAACCCCATTAACTTCCACATCTGAAGAACAATAATGTTTGGGACTGTCCAAAGAGGAATGATGACTGTTTTTACTGGAAAAAGATATTGCAAACGAGAGACCGCTTTGTGGAAATGGAAGACACTATCCCTTACAACCCTGAGGTTGGCTATCAATGGCTCTTGGGGCAAAAACAAAAACATAACTGGACAGAATTGGTCTGGAATAGTTATTCCATCCCAAAACATAAGTTTGTGTTCTGGCTAACTTGCAGAGACAGAATATTGACCAAATACAGACTGAAATTCTTATCCCCAGTAGACACTTCTTTCTTAATCTGCCAGAATGCTGAAGAAGATAGACATCACCTTTTCTGTACTTGCCCTTATACTAGGGAGGTATACAAGAGGATTTATGATTGGACCCAATTTCTTTTTGAAGGGGACACAATAGAAGCAATTTGTACACAGCTCCTGAGCATTGCTACTGTGAAGAGAAGGAGAAAAATTGCAGCAGTTTTTGCAGCCAGTATATATTTCATCTGGAAGGTCAGGAATAAGATCTTCCACTCTAATTCCTTAACACCTGTTGAGGAAACATTCAGCTGGATCAAGTTCCATGTTAGAACCTATTTGAATTCTAGATCAGTTGGTTTTGTGTAATAGTAATTTGTGGAGGATATGTGCTACTGGAGGTAGAGGGCAGGATTATGGTGGGTTGATACTTGGTTGTATGTAGATATTTGGAGATTTATTAATATATTTGCTTTCTGTTCAAAAAAAAGGATAGAACTGTAATGTAGTCTCTAAATCATTAAGCTTACCAACAGTCTCCGCAAACGATGTAGCAAATATAGTCCCCTCCTTCTGTTGATCTTCCTTCTGTTGTTCTTTATACTTCATTTCCGCATCCGGATCGATTTGATTATTCAAATTCGGGTTCGTGGCTTCAGATACCTCTTCATCCTTTTTAGGGGTTGATTGTGGAGTTCAATGATTGCTTTCTGATTCTAATTGTGGATTGCTTTCTTTTGTTGGGGAAAATCACCTCAATTTTCTAGCGAAAGCAATTAATAATTTTTCAGTCTTTGTGTTGTCAAAATGGGCAAAATCATATGAATGATCAAAAATAGCAAACATGACAACAAGCAATCAATCAATCGATATACGCACACAAAGATTTAACGTGGAAACTCCAAACCGGGGAAAAAACCACGAAGCCTTCCACTAATCACCAAGAAAATCAGTGGGTACACCAAGAATCCTCTCTAAATCAATTAGAGGTACACACAATCATCAAGTAATAACTTGGAACACTATAATCTTCACTAAAAAATGAGAAATACCTAATAAAAACGCAGCAGTAAACAGAGGCGATTTTACCGACATCTGGAGGTCAAAACAACAATCCCACCGTTGGATATGAAGAAGAGGATCTCAGGAACAACATACTAAAATTTCATCCCGATCGAAGCTCGTTTGGTCGTCGATCGGAGCGAAAACCCGGACATCTGCACCACTTTTTTCTCCCTTCTTTTTCTCTCGGCTCTCTCTTTTTCCTCTATGTTTTCTGCGTTGCCACTTCTGTTCTTCTGCCCGTGAGAAGCCAAAGCAAAGGAAAAAGGAAAATTCTACACCAAAGGTACCCCATTTATGCCCACCCCTCCACTACCACTCAATTAGGCAAAAAAATTAAAAAAAATAAGTAAATAAAAATTAAAAATAAATGCGTGATTATTGATGGGGTGGTGTACAAATGGATAAGGTGTACCCCTAGCATGACCCAATTAAAAAGGCTTGCTTTTCAAAAAGTGGCAGCCCCCACTTTGACTAATTCTCTTCCTTTTTTTTCTTTTATAATAATAATAATAAATATTACTCCCTCCGTCTCATATCTTTCTTCTTACTTTTCTTTTTGGGTCGTCCCATTTGATTCTTCCCATTTCCTAAAATGAAATAAAAATATACCAAATTTACTCTTTTACCCCTCTTTTTTCTTCTTCGTTCTCTCCCCCATCCCCCATTTTAGTTCTTCTCCCTTTCTTTTTATGGTCCTTCTTACTTCCTTCTTGTTCAACCCACACCCACCCACGCCCTTCTCCTTCTTCTTCCCCCTACCTTAATTCTTCTTCTACTTCTTCTTCGTCAGGTTCCCCCTTCTTCTCTGTCTTTCTACTTTCTTCTTCGGATCTCATAAAATATGACCAGATCCGTCCAAATTCGCTTCATTTCGATTCCAGATCTGGATTTTTCCCTGATGTTCGATCGCCGCAACAAAGCTTCCAGATCTGATGAAACTTTCCGCACAAGACGATGCCGACGATGAGATGGAGCTCCAACCTCGAGAAGAGACGAAATATCCCCATTCTGAAGTACAAAAAGATTTGTAGTATGGTGGGAGATTTTAATTTAAATTTTATTTTTGGGGGTTGGCTTCAGATTCTAGTTTTTTTTAATTTGATAAATAATGTCGAAAAGTTTTTTTTGGGTTGGCCATATTCTAATTACGGAGTAATTTGTTATAAATGTTGTAAATTTCTTGTTGAGATGGAGCTTTAAATTTTTTAGGTGGAACATTTTTTTATTTCTTTTACGTCTTCTCATTTTTTGGATTTTTACTTTTCTAAAGAGATTTGATTTTTATTGAAGAAGAAGATATTAGTTTTTTATGTTGAAGAAGAAGACAGTACGCGAGATGGAAGAAGAGGATCTGAGACGAATAAGAAAGGAGAGGTAAAATTGGAAAGTCAAATCATTTTTCACTTTACATTAAAACTCGTGCCAAGTCAAAACGGGAAGTTTCAACTTGGACGGAGGGAGTATTATTATTATATTACTCCATCTCTAAACAAATTACATTTTTAACACTAAATGTATTGTTTAGGAACTCCTTCCTCCATCTAGGAGGGATACCCCAACATCTTTTCCATCCAGAATAAGATTAGGATGCGTTGTGGATTGAGAGTTGAGTTGAGAACGACTTCTTCTTCTTCTTTTCTTCTTGGGTCCACCTCTTCGTCGCGCTATGGCTAGAGAGAATGTAACTTATGATGACAGTTTTGGCATAGCATAGTTGTGCATTGAACATGCTAGGCATTACTTTTGACAGTAGTCTTATTTGTTACATGTTTTTCAAAAATCTTTAACATTGGACCAACCCAATCTACTCCAGTCTCCAGGTATTCACTAAGTATGTACACAAGTGGATTGCTATTGCCTGTCCCTTTCAAGGAATCAAGGTAATTTGCTTAACTGGCTCTTCAAAATGGTTAATGCAGTGAAGAAACCATTTGATAAGTTTTGGATTTAAATACTTATCCTGAATAATAGCCAGGGCACAGTAGCAAATGTGTCTTTATACAATTGTGAATGAGCTACAAATAACTTGAGCATGTCGAGAGCTACAAAGATTGTACTTCTGGATTATGCTTAACAGGGGCTCCAGGTTGTGTCAACGATTCTTTTGTTAACAGGACTGTAGTTTGTTAAAGGATTTGAGAGCTTCTTTTTTGTTTCTAGGTGGACTATGCATCAACTCGTTAGTTATGATAAAATACTAGGTACCCCTATTTTGTTTGTGGTTTATATGTTTGAAATGTTGAGATGCTGTACAATTTTTGTTGAGGTTTCCAATGCCCTACAAAGTACAATCTTTGTTTTTATTTTTTATGAAATGTATTTTCACATTCCTGTTAATGTTGCTAGGGATGGATTTACAATATTTATAGTGGTATCGGCTGATCACACTCGATATTTTCTTAACTAAGTAATATAGAATATACTATAATGATATTTACCCGTTCTGCTTGGCCCCTTCAAAAAACTTTTGAGATCAATATTCCTTTGTTGAGAGCATAGTTTTCAGAACCGAACCGGTCAAGGCATTGGTTCACTTGTTTGCTGGTCGAACCTGTGGTTTGAGTGGTTGAACCGGTGGTTCAAACATTTTTAATAAATAAATAAATAAATAAATAAATAAATATATACACACACATACATTGTGGCATTGAATTAAAAAAACTAATATATGATTAATAAAATAATATTTCCTCTATTTATAAATAAAGAATTGATGTTTTACTAAATTTATAATTTAACTTAATTTACTTGAGTTGTTTCATTAAATAAAAAATAAAACTTACTTATTTAAAAAATCTTAGAAATAAAAAGTGATTTGAATTTTTTTAAACATTTTATCTAGTATTTAAAAATATATATAAAATATTTGTGTGATATGCACTCCATATCGATTACCTCAATGGTTTTTGAATTTTAGTAAAAAAAACTATATATACTTAAAAAGTATTTGAATAAAGAATATAAAACACGAATAGTTGAAAGTTCCTACGAAGCATTATAGCAGAGATGGCTTGGAGAGGTTCCTTTTTCCCATGCAGTCCGGTGTTTGAACCCCCAGGCGTGCATTTTTTAAGATTCTCCATAAAAGATTTGAAAAAACCGGATCCGGCCGGTTTTCTCCGGTTTTAACCGGTTCCCACTGGACCGGTCGAAGGCGGTTTGAATGCCCGGACCGGTTTGGTGTCCGGTTCCCGGTCCGAACCGGCCGGTCCAGTCCAGTTTTTAAAACTATGGTTAAGAGCTTGTGAGCATAACAAAGCCTAAAATTTTTTAAACAAACATATTGTTTCGATCGATTTTGACTTGGATTACAATGTTTGATTTTCCGAACGCAGACCTAATCAAAGTCATGCAAATATAGTCGTAATAAAGAAAACGTGGGAGCTACTTCCTATGTCCCATTTGAATCTTTACGTACCCTATTCATAGGGTCAAATTTTATATATTTTTCTTTTCTATTTTTGTTATTCATTTGATAAAATAATATAATTATGTCATCTCTAATTTGTAGATTTTTTGATATAATTTTTTAGTATAAAATTTTATACAAATTAAATTAAACAATAAAGTTGAGAAGAGAAAAAAAGTACCCGGTAATACGGAGTACAAGGGAGGGAATATAGTCCGCAATATATATAGGGTTAAAAAACCGCATTCTCTCAAATAGACCCGAGTAGTCCTAAAAAAAGATTGAAGAGAGAGAGAGGGGGCGTCGGGCTAGGGTTTTTCGCGTGGATTGAAAGTAAAAAAGAATGGAGGTGGAGAGGCGATGGGGTGAGGAAGATCCGTTAGCCGGCGACAGTGGGTGTGGAGAATGGATTCATAAACGCTCGAGGCGTCGCCTCCGATTGAGGTCGCATGAGCATTCATCAGGTTCCTCCCAGATAACTTTTATGTTCTTAAGCAAGTATTATTTGATCAATTGATAAAATATAAATTCTTGTTATGTAGAATTCTTGATCCAGTTTTGAGTGGTGTAATGTGTATTATGAGTATTTTTTGTTTCTATACCAATTTGTAAATAAAATTATTTTAACATCAAAAGATTGCATCTTTAATTTGATTCAATATTGTTGCATAGATCCGAGGCTGAAGCTGTTGGACAGTATTTTGTGCCCTTGGACAGTATTTGTAAAAACAATGCTAAGGATACACCAAATGATGTATTTTATTTGTACCCCACTCCATCCTCACCATACAAAAGCAAGTGAGAGAAAAATTAGAAATAAAAAAGAGAAAAATGCTAGGGGTACACCAAATGTGTACCCCATTTGTCCCCTACCCTCTCCTTGTCCACACAAAAAGGCAAGGAATTCAAAAAAAATAAATAAATAAAAATAAAATAAAAATGCGTGGTGGAGAAGTGGGTTGTGTACATTTGGGGTACACCAAAGGTGTACCCCTAGCATTGGTCTAAAAAAGAAATTAAAGGTAAAGATGTAGGGTGTATGAATGGGGTACCCCATTTGGTGTACCCCATTCTTCTTATTGTAAAAGATAAAAAATACGTTCCATCACTTTTACATAAGTCTCGAAGAAGGCTATTAAGGGTTAGGAAGGCCATCAGCGAATCTCCTCCGCCGTCGCCAAGTGATTTTTTTTTTAAAATTTATGTACTACTTGTTTAAAGCCGGGAAACAGCAAATTGGAGAAGCCGAGTGAATTTTTTTTGTTTTACTTTTTAAAGCCATCAGCCCAATCTTGTTTATTTTTACACTTATTTGATCACTTATTTTACGTATTTATTAAGTACATTAATTACTTTTCAGTTGTTTAATGAGTATTATTCTTCAAAGTAACGTAAGTAGAGAGGCCGACTTAACAAAATCTTCAAATCGGAAAACTGCTGGTAGAGAGACGCTGCCGCTAGAGTCCAGACGCCGCCGGGAGCCGACTCTCTAGCCTCCAGGTATTCCGTATTCATAGCTTTCCAATTTTGTAATTTTTTCTTTCATTTTTTCATTCTTTAGATTTTAGGGTTAATTATTGAACTTTAATTATAAATCTTTGCTAATTGCTATGAAATAGGATGATTTAATAGTTCTATATGTTCTTTATTTAATTTGGATGAATTGATTTGAATTTATGATATATTTATACTCCCTCTGTCCACCATAGATCTTCCCAATAGCCCTTTTTCTTTGTCCACAATAGATCTTCTCATTTCATTTTTTAACAAGTAAAATACCACAACTACCCCCACTTACTTTATTTATTACACCTCACCCACCTCATTTAATACACTCCACCCATTTTTCATTAAGGGTATTATGGTAAACTTTCACCTTTTTTCAACTCTCCTTAAAAACCACCAAAAGTCAAAATGAGAACATCTTAGGCGGACGGAGGAAGTAATTTTATTTATAAAAAACTGAAAACTAAAAAAAATTTAAAAACTGAAAAATTGATATGAATTTATGATATATAAAAAAATTAAAACTTAAAAAACAAAAATATAAAAATTGACGAATTGATATGAATTTATGATATATTAATTTACTTTTTTCTTCTAATAATATCGCGTTAACTATTATTTAAATATAATTAGTTTACATTTATTAATTTTTTAGACCATAAGGGATACGATTTTTAGGTTTTTTTTCCTGTTTCGGCCCAGGCCCATGAATTCTCGGGACCGGCCCTGAGTCTTTCTTAAAAAATCAAGAATTGAATGAGACTACTGGTTCAAGACTAGACCAGATCGACCGGTCTCAAGGACCACATCCGTCCCATCTTTTATAGTCTCAATCTTAATCTATCCTGATCAATCTCTCCAGTTCTACTTTTTATGCTCATCACTAGTCATACACCTACTTTTCCATTAGACTATTTTATTCTATCACATCAAAAGCAACACATGAAAATATTTTATACTCCCTTCTAGCAACACCGGGCCCATGATTTTAAAGGTCCAATTCTTTTAAATATTATATAATGTATATAAGTAGCCCAGCAGCCCAGCACATAGCCCGACTCAAAGGCCCATTTCTAATCGTCCATCCCTTCTAAGC